TGCTTGGCTGTGTAAGCTACACATACAGTCTTCTCTTGGTGTTTGTGTAATTTCTACCTCCTTCCGCTCATCTCCCATTCTACCCTTGATCTTCAGAAGCCGGATGACCCTTTCTATAGGCTGGTCTATCTGATACCAACTTTTGTGTTCACTTTTTGTGTGAACTACTGCGGACTCTTCCGAGTCACGGTTATTAGCTCCAGAATGATTGCTTACCTCTGTTCTGTTAAGCTGAGAACCATCTCCTGCTGTGTAGCAGGCTGATGGAATGCAACAGTGAGGTTCTCCTCCTCCTCTTTCTAAAAAGAGTTTCAGTGCCATTTGGAGCTAGCTTAGCAAGTTTGAGAATGATTGCACTGCGTGCCAGAAGCCTATCAAAAGTCTTGGGCATTCTACAGAAAGGCATAGGATGCAATACAGAAATCTGTAGTATATTCAAGCTGTGCAGAATTCAACATGGCATTAGCACTCTACAGCCAGCTCCACCACCTCCTTGCTCCCGTTTTACTAGAAGAGCGCTCTCTCCTGCAAGGGACTGAGGGATGGGAAAAGAAGCAAGATGGGAGTTCTCTGCATTAAGATCACGGTACTTCTAGAAACAGTGAGCTCAAACCAACTGCTCTGCCCCAGCAGGGTTCTCTGAGGGTACTACACTGCGTCATAAAGACACACGGAAGACCTCAAGCCTTTGACCGGCAAGTGTTGCCAGCATGGTTTCCTGTTCAGGGGAAAGGTTCGATACATACTGGAAGACAATTCCTAAGATATAACCGGAGAGTTGCTCACTGGCTTTTTGGGTTGTTCAGGTTCTAACTGGTCTTAGGTACACAGCTGACATTTTGGATGGACGAGGCACTTGCAGTAGAGAGAAGCAGAAGAATTTCCTATGTAACCTTTTAGTGTTATTAGTGTTATTTTACTGTTTATTTTGGAGTCTTACTCAAACTTCTTTCCGTATGCTTCAGAGATAATGCTCGCACGTTAGTTACATGGCAGGATTTGGTCAGTTGTTAGGAAGTATTTTGCTGATGCATATATATAACTGACTGACCCCCTCCGTTTTCTCCAGCTACGATAGATTACCTCTTACTCTTCTGTTTGGCATGTGTACTCCTTTCCATTTAGACATCATTAAACTGTTTATGGTCTAGATAGGGATTTACTGCCTAACCCAGTAAATTGCAAGCTCAGCTTGGTGAAAAGGATTCTGCTGTGAAAGTCACTTCCTAATAATTTCTGGTGACTGGCAATCTGATACCTGTTTAAAACTAAGACTGCAAGATGATGTGTTACAAGGTGAAGCTGCTTTTGTTGCTCTTGTTTTTGCATCCTAGCAAACATGCAAATGAGGCAATGACAAAATCCAAAGGTAGCCTAGCCATACTATGCAATGGGTGAGCAGAATACTTTCTGTGACCTTTCCTATCCTGCCTGTTTTTGGGGCAAAACAAAATCATTCTGGTTATGATCATTGTGAGATCTGAAAAGGCCAAGAAATCTACCTAGAACTAAGCACACCGAGAGAAGAAAAAAAAACCCACAAAAAACAACACAAAAAGAAACAAACAAACGAAACAACCGAAAAACTCCAACCCTGCAGCCCGCTTCACTGTGGAGATGTAAAAGGAAGTAAAAAACTTAACACCTCCCAAAAGCAATTGGAGCAGAGAGACTCCAAGAAGCACCTTCCTTCCCATTCCCTTCCTAGAGGAGCATGACTCTGTGTCGATACTTTAGGAGGCATTATTGTCTGTGAAAGAGCCTGTACCCCTTCCAGTACTTGAACACCTAGAGTACAAAAGTAAAACTACAAGCACTGGCTAACCAGTAGCACTAGCGTAAATGTGAGTGCTAAATTCTCTGAAAGCAGTGGTTAATTTGAGCACATTCCTAAGGCTCAGGGCCTGCAGACAAACAGAGACTTATGACGTTATTATGAAAGCTTATCGCATAGTTTGACAGATGAATTTCTATCATTAAATCAATTACTCAGAGACTTGCACTAGTCTTGTAAGGGTGTAAGTTTCCATTACCCAAAATGAACCTACTGCTCAAAGGTAAAGTCTCCCTCCAGAGTGTACTATAGCAGCAGAGGGACAGGCACAAGCTTCTTGGATAGGTATGAAGTCTCCTTCCTCAGCAGATGTTCTGGAATCCCTGATCAGACCAAGTGGCAGGACCTCCCTATGCAGAGCTAATTGTCCTGCTACAGAAATACTGACATGCACAGGCTGGAGGGGACCGAGTTTTCTGGAGGTTTGTTTTAATCATTTATGCTATAATTATCCTGCACTTTTTTTTTTCCTTCCAAGTTGTAGTGAGCATCTATGCATGTTTGAGATATTTCAAGGGCTTCCCACAGATCTGTCCAAATGCCAGTCCCACATCATAAAACAGTCAGCAGAAGCTATTCGCACAAACCCATGAATCTGAGCAGCACCCTGGGTTCATACAGCTGCTTTCAATGGAAAGCTAAACTAGCTTGCTTTGCATAAGTTGCCAAGATATGATAAAGTCAGCCACAAAGGAGCTGCACACCATTTCCTAGAAGGGAGCTACTCTATATAACACCAGGGAAATATGGTGATTTCCCAGAGCATGGATGTGGGTAGGCAGGATTTTGTGTGTTAAACAATTCATGCGAGAAGGGGAAATCCCGATTCCTTGTCGCAAATTTTCAGACTATGTGCTAGGGAGGAACTACCACCTGGAATACAGACATACTCTGTGCTGTTTGATTAACTGGTTCAGTCACTCTTTAAGAGAAATTTCCCCTACAGAGAAGGAAGAAGAATATGGGGAAAGACATGACAAAACTTAGGTCATTCTTTAAAATATGGGTTCAGCTTGGTTCGTCTCTTTGACGCTGACTGCAAGACAGATCCCTCTAGCACAATAAGCATACTTACTCATTCCCACTACCCCTTATTTTGGCAAGGTGTTTAGATTGTAAAGGTGGTGAAAAGAAAATAATCAAATTCTGTATCTAAAATTGTATGTCTTCTATGAAACAAAGACTGAATTGTACAGGTATCTTCAACTGATAGTGTGTCCCAAAAGGTGGGAATGAAGAACTATAGTAACATTCCCCTAGGAATGGGTAAGGGAAAAAAATCCAAACTTTCTTCTGTTCCACTCTTATTGTACCTGTCATCATAGAGAAAGTTGTGCACAAATGTATGCAAACATGATTTTTCTAATAAGCATAATTGAATTTGGCCACCTACACGCAATATGACAATGAAAAGCTAATGTCATTTAGTATTTCTGTAAGGCTACATTCCTGTCATTCTGCAGAATCCTGTCCTTAGACAGGATTTGGTGACTCATTTAATGTGGTTACAACAAGGTCTGAAAAGCTTAGCAGTATAATCCTCCTTCTAGGAGGTAAGACTGCTCGTTTTAATGTCCTCATCTTGCAACCTTCTGGAATCCATGTTTCAGAAGGAAAATAATACTTAAATGCGATTTGATACAACCCCTGTATCTGCAGAAAGTACTAAGAAGAGCGAGAATTAGATTACTGTGAAGTTTTTCTCATTTCAGTGCATGCAAGGACATAAAACTGTTAGTAATATTTTAATCCCATAGTAACTGGACGAAGAGCAGACATCTGAATATGTAATCACTACCACTGTGCAAAGCTTTCTCACGAGAAAGCTGCATGAAAAGCCATGGACCAAAAGATTCACAGCCAGCAAGAAGCTACTTTGTGTCCCTTTGAGCAATAACACAAAGGCAGCATTTAAAATAAAAATCGCTGATGTATTTTTCTTAAACTGGCAATGTAGAGAATTTCCCTTCATAGTAAAACTCTAAGAGCTTATATATCTCTTCTACAACTGAAATTTAATTTCTGATGTGTGTACTAAACAGAGAGGAATAAAATATGTTCTAGGACAATTATGCAAATACTTTCAATACTTTAAAAAGCTATTTTATGACAGTCTGTGTATGAATGGCTTCTTGCTGCTTTACCGCCAGCTATCAGTACTTTGCAACCTTGCTATAATTGTTACAGAACTTTGTCTTGAAGTTCTTTCTTCCAGATTTTCATTTCAGAAAAGAATACTCCTGAGGAAAGATTCTTTTGGTGCAGCTTCTTTTTTTCATAGCTCATTTTCTGGAGATTTAGGAACATCTTTATTTTAAATGTGGTATCTTTATACAAAATCTTTTATACAACTGTTATGCTTTCATTTCCTTCATGCCTAGGACACAGATCAGTTCACTCTAACACTGTTATTTTCTAGCATAACTAGATACCCCAAGGAAGGATTAGACACTTGAATGTTATTTTAAATGGAATTCAATGACCCCAGTGAAAAGCTTTCTAATATCTGAGAATCTAAGGACATATAAAAGACAGAGACTGAGTCCCTGGCCATGAGGGCTAAATAAGGACCTGAATAGCCTATCAGATGGATAAAGACAAGCTTTTTTGGTTTTTAAGACAACTTGATTAAGCACAATTTCCATTTTTGACAATTGTCTCTTTATAAATCTTCCTGTCTTGTCCAGTTTGGAATTGCCAAATAAATACTTTGAATTGCTTTTGCTATAACTTGTCTTGAATTAGGGGTATATATTAAACTGATTGACATCAAATATTCCATCCTTATAACTGTAGCGAGGCTTAAAAACAAGGTACAAGACGGTCTAGTAATGTCCAGATCCGTAACACATTGTTCCAAGTCATCTGAAAGAAACATGCTAGCTGGTTAGAGAGCTTGGACAGAAAGTCCTCTCTACAGTGGGACAGGAGAGCTCCCATGAACTGAGAAAGTTATCTGGCATATAGCAGGACATGAGAGTATACTGTAAAACCCTCCAACAGCCGGGAGTAAGCCATTGCAACTGTACGCACTGCATGTAATACAGCCAGACTGAACCTCTGAAAGAACAAACAGTTGAGTTGTAGTGTAAACAATATGAAGATTAATAAATATGCCACTAGATGAGATGCTGGAGTTTGGTATAGCAGTGGATTCAAACAGGAGGGGGG